TATCTCCCTCCATTCCACGTCAAGGTTGAAACAGGCTAGTTTCCTTACTGTCCATTTTTACACAGTAGGTTTTTATCTTATTTATCCTTACAATGAACATCTCAGTTTTATACAAAGGGATCTCATACTTCCCACCTTAGTTAGAGGAAGTAGATATCCTCTGTTTTTGTAAAGCTGTCAAAACAGACACATGAGGTTTCTAGAATGTGGCAAAAATCCTTAAGGAGAAAGCTGGTATTGATTCCTGTTCATCTTGTGAAGTTTCTGATTTCAATTTTATAATGTTCTCTGCACAGTCCTTAACTTTTGCATTTGTGTATATATCAACAATTTAGTAGTTTCTATCCAGCAGACATCATTAAGGTATTTAGTACACTATAATACCAAAAAATGAAATCATTTCATTGGTACACATATTTTTAAAGTATTTTATACATATTGCCCTACTGCCCTCCAGTAAAATTGTGCCAGTTTATATTAATTCATCAGTGTGGTAATCAGAAACTACAAATTTTAATGTCTTAGGCTGGCCTTGGTTTAAATATTTCAACTGTATTTGATATAAAGCTTTATGATATCCAAAATACTGGGCTATCTCATATTTTCAATAAAAATAACGAAGAACAGATTAAAGGATATTTATACTATGGTGTAAGAAGGTCTATAAACAAACAATACAGGGAGAAAACAAGATCTTTTAAGAAAAAAATCTATGCATATTTTAAAGTTTGGAAGAACATTTTTACATTTATTCAACAGTGGTTAAGAGCAAATCCAGGTTCCGCCACTTACTCCTTGACCTTGGGCAGGTCTCCCATCCTCATCTGCAAAGTGGATATGGTAGTAAATACTAGCAAAACAGAAAGCCTGACATAAGGGCCGGCCCCGTGGTGCACTGCTACAGTGCGCCGCTTGTGAGCGCGGTGGCGCTCCCGCCGAGGGTTCGGATCCCACATACAGACCGGTTCCCGCTCACTGCCTGAGCGAGGTGTGGGAGCAACACCGAGGGTTGCGATCCCGTTGCCGGTCCCAGTCCGGTACGGGAGCGACACTGAGGGTTGTGATCCATTGCCAGACACGAAAAAAGACCAAAAAGAAAAAAAAAAGAAAGCCTGACATAAAATAATTTACAAAGTTATTTTATAAAATCTGGTAGCTAATATTATTAACTTGTCCCAAGTGACTCCAAGGGGCAGTTGAGATTTGAATCCAAGTTTGCTTGAATCCAAAACCCACGAGGAACCCTTTCGATTTGCATGTTGTTACAGGACATAGAGACTGGCTGTTCCCGTAGATTTCTTGCTACACATTTATTCACTGTGCAGTGAGCTACCCATACCCTCATTGTAAGCCCCATAAGGACGAAGGAGTGGGACCCCTTCCTGGTATGCGATAAAACTGATAAGCGTTCTTAAACTTACTTAGCTACGTACTTACAGAAGATAGATGATATTAAGCCTCCCAAACAGCTTCTCGGTAAATTTTCGAATGAGGCTTTTAATACAGTTAATATCCTGTGACTCTGTTCTCCGGCAATGAACCACTTCCACCTTCCCTCTCGGGGAAGTGAGTGTTGACATTTTTTATCCTGTCCCAAAAAGAGAAAAAACAGTCCACTATTAATCTGAGATGACAAGCCAGTTTGGTTACAATACCCACAAAACTGGACATTAAATCAATTTTCATATGGTCATTGTAAATGTGGTATGGGAGTACTGGGGCGACACATTCTCCCCTGGGGGTAGCCTGATCCAGAGCAGGGTGATTAGAGGCAGATTTCCATGAGTAAATGGAAGGAAGAGGAGATAATATGATTCAAACCCAGGGATGTAAGTGAGTTCTGCTGCATAAACAAAGTTTGGCCAATAAATTAGTTTCCATACTTTTGTGTATCTTTGTCAAGATATGGAAAATTTTAAATAATTAAACTGTAAAACTGTCTGAACCTAAAAAAAAAGAAAGAAACGAAGGAAGCGGACCTCAGAGACTCCAAAGCCTAGAGTGCAACGCGGCGCCCGGCAGCCTAGAAGCGCGGCGGCTCGGCCCTGGCATGCCGGGAATGGCCGTTCCCTCGCCCGCAGCTCTTTCCCTGTCCTCGGGCCTACAGACCGGAGCCTGGTTCCTGCTCCCGTCGCAGGGAGCCACGGCTCGACGG